ATATGTCGTTTTATGCATATAGTTCAAAATGATAATTAATTTCTGAAGAATTTTATTATTCTATTTCATATCCAAATGTTCCTAAATAAATAGAGGAATAACGGTTGAAAAATAAATATGAAGTAGTATTTATTTATTTTATTTTAAGTGAATCCTTTGATTTATGAAAATAATCATAATAGTTTCTTTCTTCTCTAAGATCATAAAATTAAAACATATTATTTCTAATTGATTTTAAAATCAAAATATTTTCATCAAAATATTCGAATATAAATTTTTCATTTGAGGAGACACCATTTCTTATTGATTTTAACAATTCAAATGTAATTTAATTCTTCTATTGATTAAATATTAATTAAAATAAATAAGAAAATTATTAACTTATAATGAAAAATTTAATTTTAGTTAAACTTCCAATCTATATACATGAGGTTAATTTTAATTCTAAAAAAGATTATTGTCTATTAGTCATTTCTATTTAAAGTTCTTTATATATTGATAATTAATATAATAGCCTTTTCTAATCTAAATTGATTTAGTAAATAATTAATACTATATCAATTGAATTTATTTTATTCTATTATAAAATTAAATATTGATTCTGTGATTCTTCAATATATTTGACATCTAGGATAATAAAAGGTATTTATATTTAAATAAAATTGATATCTTCAAAATATATAAAAGTTTGATTAAATTCATCTTATAGCATTATTAAATTACCTGTTCTCATTATATCTAATGCATTATTTAATTTTATTTAAAAATTGTCATGATGATCTGATATTTCAATACAATCTTCATCATTTAATTCAGAACATTAAATTAATTGAATTTTAAGATAGCTTTCTGATTGTAAAAAACTAAGATAATAATTCTATTTTAATTAGGTTATATAAATAAGATTGAAATTAAAATCAATATTGACAATGTCAAGTTATTAATTTTCTAAAATAATTGCTGAAAACCTTAAATTTTCTGGTTCTTTTTAAATTTTGTATTTTTTAATACAAAAATTAGATCTATTATTTTTACTACAAAGTTAAAATTTTTTGATAAATTGAAAAGGTCCATTCAAAACAATGGATGAATTAGTTATAAGTGTCAAACTATTAATTGGGCCATAAAAAATATCAGATATATTTAATTTAAAATTTTAATTTTATTGAATTTCTAATAGAGATAGATTTTTAATTTTCTATAATTTATAGCAACTATTATAAATCTAAATTTTTAGGTATATACCTCTCTCATCCTATTTATTTAGATATAAATCTGTTTAAAAGAGTGATGATAAGTTATTTTTAAAATTGAAGTTGGCCTCTAATTCAAATTAAATTTCATTCAAAAGTAAATATCTCCATTCTCCATCTAAAAAATACAATAGATCATCTTAGTAAAATGTAAAAAAGGAATTATCAGTTGCTATAATTTCTTAAAAATGCAAGAAGGATTTATTATGCTTAAAAATAGCTATATATATGTTCTTATTTTACATCATTAAAATAACTAAATACTAAGGGTTTATTTTGAATACTTATTTGAATATCAATAACTCTATAATTAAAAGGATAAACAAATTAATAATCAGAAAAAGTATAATTTGAAATTTAATGTAATTCATCATCATTAATATAATTAAGGATTAGTGATTATGTGAGATTTTGTATTGAAAACATTAAATAGTCTTAATGTAATATTCTTTAGAGTTGAATCGAAATAATTAATGCATCCTTAAATTTAAAGATTCTCATTTTTCCTTAAATTTCAATAGCTATAATATTGATATATTAAATAAATTTTAAATTTTCTACTTCATAATAAAATAGAATAGGTTCTGATTAATAAAGATTCTTTGAGAGATATTGTCTAATTAAATTTAATTGAAAATTGTAATATATAATTGGAGCCTAATTTGTATTATTCGTGTAAAGAAATACACTTTAAGAAATTTGTTAAGTCTTTATAATTACTGCATCCAACTCTATTTTGAATAAGAATAGTTAACCATTTTTGAATTAAAATATTCTCAAGAAATTTTAATTTTTTTTGTTTACTATAAAATAGTCTCCATATGATTCAAGTA